GAAAAGAAGTGGGAGACAAATGAAAGGAAGTGGGAGACAAGCCAGCCGGGAACCCGACCACAATCACCCAGCCTGGGAGACAAATGAAAAGAACTGGGAGACAAATGAAAGGAAGTGGGAGACAAGCCGGCCGGGAACCCGACCAGACTATCCAGCACCAAGGCGACCATTCTTTGAAGCATTGAGAACCCCTAACAGTAAACTGTTTGGGGAATTAAAGTCCTTTCAGTTTGATCGAACTCTTCTTCGATCGCCTTCCAGGGCCGGTGCATATCGGGAAGGTCGCATTCTGGATCTGCTAGAAGGTGGCAATCTGTATGTACCATGAAATGGATCATCCTCAATTCATGTTGACTGGAGCCTTCCTGGCAGCATGCTCAGGCAGTCTGCCAGAAGAGAACTCAACTTCGGTGCTGGCTGAAAACATGTGAGTCTTGGTAATATAGTATAGTATAGTATACTTATGAAGGCTGCTTTTGCTTTTGCAAAATCTTGAAGTCCAAAGCTTGACTTGGGATTGTCCTGGCTCTTTCGCACGTCAGCTGCCCTGAAGGGGTAGACGGGGCATATGATGGTGGGGGCATCAAAGAATGTAGTTCAAATGCAGACAAGATCGAGGACTGCATGTTTGCAATGTCGAACAGAACTCCTGAAAGATGGCTTTCTCCATCGTTCGGAGCAATTCTGATTTTGTATTATGCACAGTATAGTATACAGTGATTTAGAAACAAACAAACGATGTAGTTGCAAGAAGCACGCACAACAGCAGCAGCGGGGGACAAAGTTCACCATTTTGGCAGCCTGCTATGCCGTAGCCAACTCAGAGCTAGGACAAAGGCTGAGAAGAGGGTAGGCAAAGACCTGCAGTCTTTGTATACTCACGAGTTTCAACATGTTTCAACATGTGTGCGAGCTTTTAGAGCGAAGGTGTGCCAACACCCTGCCAAGGCGTTCTAGGACGCGAAGCAAGAGCCGCGAGCCTGCCAGTCGGATCCACAATTGGCATCCCATCACGGATGGCTTTGAACATACCCTGGACTTGACCACCCAATGCTATGCTGCTACATTTGCGTCACTGGAGCTACCCTTTCTGAAAACATGAATGCTACTACCAGCAAATGCGTAAGCTGAATAGCCTCAAATCAAAACATGATGCCCTCCTGGTCATGAATCTATCCCCCCGTGCTTCGCCAAAGAATGCAGACAATCAGTCGGTCTGAACAGTTAATTTCAGATGCACTGTACAAACCAAAGCAACGGTATCACGTTGTAGAATAATGACATTTTGCAATGAGACTGCAGCCGACCCCAGACCCCAAAGTGACAATTTGGGTTCATCTCATCGACAGGCCGCATCCTAAAATATTTGAAGAAGCCTGAACAATTGGATGGTGGTTCCAAATGGCCAAATAGCATCCAGCCTAGCCACCTACCTAGCTCCACGCTGCTCTTGTTGAGGCCCAAAGCGCCGCTCTGAGTCCCAGCCGGCCGAGCGGCGGCGGCGCCGGCGGAAGCGGTCTGAAAACAGGCTAAGGAGCCTCACTGTGACCATTTTTGATCAGAGCTGTGCTCAGATATCGTCAGCCGTTTTTCCTAAGTACATTCCACACTGCTTACGGTCTTGTGAATATTAATTTCAGTATTTTGCACATACCTTCACATTGACATCAGGAGCCGACCACGTTCAAGCTCACCGCCAGCGCGTTCACGCTCTGATTCAGGAAGGAATAATAGATCGCTGTGCCAGCCTCAGGCACAAAAGCAATCGCATCAGGCATCAGGTTATTTTCTGTGCTGTCAAACATCTTGCATTTGTATTGTAGGCTAAGACCTATAGGAGACAAGAACGCTTCAATAAAGCCTGCCCAGGAAAGCTCGTTCGCCTCCACGGTCGCCCAGAAGACGGAAGTCTCGATCTGCTCCAGCAAGGAGCAGGCTTGCTGTTTGTGCAGCGAACTGCAAACACAAAAGGGGTGTTGTTGGTGGAAAAACACAAAAGTCTTTCTGTCAATGCAGGATTAGACAAGTGAAACAGAGGTTCTGCTCTCGGGAGTTGCCACCTGCCAGGGACCGCAGCCGACCTCGTTCAAGAAGCCGTAGCCGGCGGAGTGAGAGGCTTATGAGATCGCACAGCTACAGCGCAAGTTTCATGGCTTATGCAAAAACTTTGAGAATCTTTTGCTCTGATCAAGCCGAGTACACAAACGTTCGTCATGCCTGGTCATGCAAGGAAAAACTCATTGCTTTGCCGAACATTTTTCTGCAAAAGAACAGAAATTGCTGCAAGTGCATTCGCTCTTGCTGCGAATTTGGCCCTCAAGGAAGTCGAGGGCGTCGACGAAATCGCAGCAGAAGCCGCACAGACGGAGGTGTGGTGGCCAAGATTTTGCATGATGAAGCCGAAAGTAAGCCAGAAGGGGTTCTGCTTTTGCCAGATCATCTTGGCCTGAGGCAATTGGTCACAGCCTAGAGGTCGGCGGGAACCATACCGGCCAAAGATGCTTGGACAAATCTGAGAAAGATTTCTTGACATGGAGCACAATCAGTCAACATCAGTGACATGCTCTGAGCTCAGGAAGCCAGAAGGTTTTGCCCTTAGCATTGAGCTCGTAAAGCTAGCTGGCCATCCTGTCTTTCCTGCAAAATGTGTGTGCACAGAGAACCACTGGATGAAAGGCTGCAAGACCATTTGGGTTGGCTGGGTTGACAAGAAACCAGAAGAGGAGGACTCCTTCGTTTTTTCAATGGCTTCGCGCACCATGATCTGAGTTTTCAGCATTTGCAGGAGCTGCAGGACTTTTTCAAGGACTGTGGCGAAATCGTAGAGGTTCAACCTGTCAGCAGGCTTTTCTCAATCCAGAACAAAGCATAGCCAAGGTGCGATGCAGTGACCGGCA